ACTGCATAATTACGACACTAATCTTCAAAAAACGAGAACTAAATTCTATGCACTCGGCAACAAAGCTAGCTCACTCCTTGCTAAAACTGTTAAACAAAAGCGGCTTAAAACCAAAATATCCACAATTCAACACCCCACCACGCATTCCCCCCTAACAAACCCCCAGGACATAGCTAACGCTTTTGCGGCTTATTACCATAACCTCTATAACATCAAAGATGACCCTAATACAACCCAACCTACTGTTGCCTCCATTGAAAACTTTCTACGCAATACCAACCTACCTAATCTAACTGCGCCCCAACTTGAATCTATCTCTGTACCGATCTCATCTATAGAAATCGAAAAAACCATAACTACTCTATCCTTAAACAAATCGCCAGGGAATGATGGATTCACCAACGAATACTATAAAACATTTGCGCCCAATCTTACGTCACACTTATCCACCCTCTATAACCACGTTGCCTCTAATGGGGAATTCCCCCCGGATATGCTACAGTCAATAATCACCACTATCCCAAAACCGGGCAAAGACCCACAACTGACCCAAAATTACAGACCGATCTCATTACTTAATACGGATATAAAAATATATGCGAAAATAATTGCCCACAGATTACTTCCATACTTACCTACATTGATCCACCCAGATCAAGTAGGATTCATACCTGGTAGACAGGCACCTGACGCTACTAGACGAATAATATCGCTGCTGCATCACCTTGAATCTGATAATCGTCCATCCCTCCTCCTATCACTAGATGCGGAAAAAGCATTCGACCGCATTCACTGGCAATTTATGACACTCACACTCCAAAAATTTGGCATTACAAACTGGATGCTTTCAGCGATTCTATCTCTCTACTTCAAATCTACTGCCAGAGTACTAACTAATGGCACACTCTCCCAGCCCTTCTCCATAACCAATGGAACTAGACAGGGCTGCCCCCTGTCACCTATTATCTTTGCCTTAGTTATCGAACCGTTAGCAGCCAACCTCAGAGATGATCCCCAGTTCACAGGTATTAAATTTCTTCACAACGAACACAAAATTAGTCTCTTTGCGGATGATATTATTTTAATGATAACAAACCCAAACAAATCACTCCAAGCGGTACGCGCACATATCCATTGTTATGCAGCGGTTTCATATTACAAACTTAACGAACCTAAATCTTTGATATTTAAACCTATACACCCCCTCAGCAATGCAAAACCTACTCTCTCAACACTTCCCATTTAAGTGGGAAAAGCAAAATATCCCCTACCTAGGAATTAAACTATCTGCCAATGTTAGCCAACTATATACGGCTAATTACAAACCACTACTCGAAACCATCCCACAGGAACTTAAGAGCTTACGTACAACTAACTTGTCGATGCTAGGCAGAATAGCAACGGTTAAAATGTGCATACTTCCTAAAATACTCTATATTTTCCGTACACTTCCAATCCCAGTACCCTACACCTTCTTTTCTAAACTCCAAACGATGTTAAACAAGTTCATATGGAACTCGAAAAGATCTAGATATACCACAAATCTCCTAATACGCCCACCCTCCAGAGGTGGAGCCGGTCTTCCACACCTAAAATCATACTACCAAGCGGTTCTACTGGACCAACTCTTCTACTGGTGGCACCCCACTGCTGAAAAAGTTTGGACTGTCATGGAAACCTCCATGTACCTTCCACATAATATAACTGACTTACTATTTATACCCCGATTGGCTCAAACTAAGACTCTACATAAGCATCCCTGCATACAAGCTTCTCTAATAGTCTGGCATGATTTTGCCGCTTATAACCGACTACATAAAGCCAACTTACAAGCTTCTACTCCACTCTCATCCCTCCATTTTATCATTCCCCATTTAAACCTGACAAAATGGGAAAATCTCGGCATACTCCACATTCAAGACATTTTCACCTCTTCTAACCTAGACTCTTTTCATGCCATTCAAAGGAAGTTTCAACTCCCCAATACGGAACAATTCTCCTATATGCGCATAGCCCATTTGCTCCATAAAACTAATATACCACTCAAAATGGGAATCCCTGCAACCGCATACCAATTTTTTCACAGGACCACCTACCCTAAGAAGGGAATCTCAACTTTTTACACCCTTATTACTGACACACAATATGCTACACATACTTCGTCTCTAACCAATTGGGAAAATACTCTCCTTTAACCGCTAGCTCCGCATATATGGGAAAAGACCTTTACCATCACTTTCAAAGCCTCGAAATGCTCTTCCCATTGGGAAACATACCTGAAAATTCTCCACCAAGGGTATTTAACCCCTGCTAAATTATCCCAATGCTACCCGCAACAATCACGGGAATGCTGGAGACTCTGTGGAGACACAGGCTCACTTCTCCACTTAATCTGGGCATGTAAATCACTCAAATCCTATTGGAACAAAGTTTTCCAAATAATCACCTCAATTACGGAAATGCCTGCAACCCCGAATCCCGCCCTAGCTCTTCTACACATTGGCATTGAAAAATTCCCCACAAACTCACGTACCATTATTATACATATTTTAGCAGCTGCCAAACTCAATATTACTAGATTATGGCGCTCTACTACTACTCCTTCATTTACCCGCCTCATATCAGATCCTAATCTCCAATGTGAGATGGAAAAAAGAATAGTCAGCCACAACTCCTCCTACCACAAATTTGTGATCCATTGGTCCCGATGGTTAAAAAACCCAAATTGCATAATAGATTGATTACAGATACATACCAAATTAAAATACTCTAATCCATACCACACCGGTGCCCTCCTTCCATTACCCTCCCCCCCCTGTTCTCTCCTATCTCTTATCCTTCCCCAATTACACATATCCAGTTCCCACTAAAGTTCACAAGACATCGAGTATACCTCTCATGTAAATACAATCAAACCCTATTGTTTCCCTAGCCAGTTGGTGGGGATCCTTCATTCTCGTTTCTCCCTATGTTATGTAATGTGTATATCAAATGTGAACCTTCAAAATTTTCTTCTCATGTCAATGCCTATATACCCTTTTTTCCCTTTTTTCTTCTGTATGTTAAAACTCCTCAATAAAAACTATTTGAAATAAATATTTTTATTGCAACCGTTTGACCTTTTAGTAATAAATCTTTCCTTCTGAAAGTGTTGAACTGTTTCTATAGCACTTTATTGCAATTTACGAATTCCTGCCGCTAAAGAGACACTACTGTGTGTGTTTAACCCTCTGCATAATCGGCCTGCGGTGACCGTATTATGCAGACGATTATCTCAACCATTATAGAGTTTCCTCTTTCTCTGTACAAAAAGGAGGTGGTGGCAGTGTGAAGGGTTAATTGCGTAATTAACCTGACCCAGTAACAATCGCTCAGGCTGCCGGTACATCGATTGTGGTCCAATTAGCTAGAAAATCGTTGTGCAGGGTGCAGCTGGGTGTGGCATTGTTACGCACATGACATCGCGGTATTAGATCGGCTAGTCTTTCGGTCACAAGTTTTGTGAGAAAGGCTGGGGTCTGACGCAGCGATCGTGACACCAGAACTACAGTTATTTAGTAATTCTTTTTGCTTATGTGATTTTCTAGACTTTCAAGAAGAATGTCATCTGTGTGTGAATGAAATGGTGTACCTGGATCTTATCTAAGTCTTTTTTTCCCCAGTCAAGAATTTTACCACTGAATGTGTGAACAGTGTGCTCCAATGCCAGGAAAACATCTTGTTCGCTAAACAAGAGAAATGCCCTTTTTAGAAGATAATGTAATAAGAAAGAACAACTTTTTTTTTTTTTGCTGCTTCAGTTGAAGGTATTGAAGTTGAAGCCAGCAGGAAGAATTCAGTGTGCAGTGGGGCAATACCAGGACAATTTCATCTAGTGCCCAGGGCAAGGATGTGGAACTGCACCCCCTCCCCCACTGTTAATGCCTGTCGTAGAATGGGTTTATTGCCCTATGTCCATTCTTTGTCCTCTTGTTCCTCTGTGCCCAGGGCAGCCCTCCCTCCTGCCCACCCCTTGTCCTGAACCTGCAGGGGGGGAGCAGGTATTTGACCCCCTTTGAGGTTTTGAGTACTTGTGGTGGCCAGTGATCAACAATGCGGTGTTTCAACATAATTCCCTGCAAAGGTTCTATTACAGAGTTTTGACCCTGTAGTGACAGGGTCACTTTACTAATCGAACAACCGAGATGCACAATTTTCATTTGACTAACCTTCCATAGGATTGATTTACTAAAGGCAAATAGACTGTCCCCTCTGCAAGTGCATTCACACTCATTTTCCCCAGAGCATAGTTAATGCGGCGATGCTTCACTTTGTAAAGAATACCCAATCAGGTGCAAGGAAAATTAAAAAAAACTGAATTTTTGCTCATGCATGATTGGATGATGGAAATCAGTAGAGCTTCACCGCATTCACTCTGGGGAAGATGAGAGCAACTGCAATTGCAAAGTGCAGAGTCTACTGTATTTGCCTTTAGTAAATCAACCCCATTGTCTCACTACTTTCTTTCACACACTGACCGAGTCTCTTTTTAGCATTGCTGGAGAAACTGTCATGCTATGCCTATTACAGCAAACAGTTTTCTCCCTACAACCACCGGCAATGAAACGTTAATACTAAGTTGAATGTGCACATGTTGCTGACATATTGGGATTTCAGCTCTCAGCTGCTAAGCAATGATAACCAAACAGAAATATGTACTTGTGATGTCACAAGTGACAAATATGAATTCTGTTCAGAATTCTAAAGCAGTTCCTGAGCAAAATGTTCCTATTAGTTTCCTGCTACAAATATGGTCTGTCGACTAGAGTTTGTTGCTTGTTTTGTGTGCCACCTGCTCTCAGTTCTGCCTTGTTTTGGTGTTACTTAACCACCTCACGCCCAACATATAGTAATATGACGGGCGCAAGGTGGTTCTCTCGTTCTGGGAGGACGTCATATGACGTCCTCCCATTCTCACTGCGCATGTGTGGCTCAGGGAGTGCGCAGCGCGGCGATCGGCGGTGCGCTGTATCCCTCGGACACAGCGGATCACATGTAAACAGGGAAAGAGCCGAAGATGTCGGCTCGGTCATGTGATCAGCTGTGTCCAATCACAGCTGATCACATGTAAACAGGGAAATACTGGTTATCGGAATTTCTCTCCTCTCCAGCTATCACGCTGACAGCTCGAGAGGAGAGGAGAGCCGGTAATCGGCTTTCCGCGGAGGGGACATGTACACAGATCATCAGGGCACTGATGATCAGTGTTCCCTGATGATCAGTGTAGCCCCAGCAGTGCCACCTGTCAGTGTCCATCAGTGCCTTATGTCAGTGCTCATCAGTGGCACATCAGTGCCACATATCAGTGCACATCAATGCCACATTTCAGTGCCCATCTGAGCTGCCTTTCAGTATCACCCATCAAAGCCAGTCAGTGCCACCTATCAATGCCAGTCAGTGCCACCTATCAGTGCTGCCAATCAGTGCCACATATCAGTGCCGCCTATCAGTGCCAGTCAGTGCTGCCTATCAGTGCCTGTCAGTGCCGCCTAACAGTGCCAGTCAGTGCCGCCTAACAGTGCCAGTCAGTGCCGCCTATCAGTGCCGTCTATTAGTGCTAGTCAGTGCCGCCTATCAGTGCTGCCTTTCAGTGCCAATCAGTGATGCCTGTCAATACACATCAGTGCCACCTACCAGTGCCTCCTCATCAGTGCCCATCAGTGCCACCTATCAGTGCCCATCAGTGCACCCTCATTAGCGCACATCTGTGAAGGAGAAAAATCACTTATTTACAAAATTTTATAAAAAAAACAAAGAAAAAACATTTTTTTTTCAAAATTTTCAGTGGTTTTTGGTTTGTTTAAGAAAAAATAAAAAACCCAGAGGTGATTAAATACCATCAAAATAAAGCTCTATCTGTCACCAAAAAATGATAAAAATTTAATATGGGTACAGTGTTGCATGACCGCGCAATTGCCATTCAAAGTACGACAGCGCTGAAAGGTTGAATTTGGCCTGGGCAGGAAGGGGGTATAAGTGCCCTGTAGGCTAGTGGTTAAAAGGTGCCTTCCCTGACTCTTCATATTTTATTTCCTTGCCTATTAATTTATCCTTTTGTTTACCTACAGTTTAGTAGTCTCCAGTGGAGATAACTTTACCAATAGGATACCCATTTATGACCCCTATTCAAGGCTTTTTTTTTTCTTGATGATGGGAAGGATTGAGGTTTTATGGCTTTGTTAGGCCCATTTGGGTCTGAAAATTACAGAAATTTTGTTTTAATCAGTGCTAGAAATTCTGCGTGCCAACTAGTTATTATTGAAATGGGCTAGGGGTTAATTTTGCATCCCTTTCACTTATTTCATGCATTATTTGAATATTCCTATGTTATGCATAATCAATTACTTTGATTTACCATCAACATACACATTTACGCTCACCCAGGCACTTGGACGTTAAGCCGCCAGACCATTGCTTCCCCTTCCAAAATCCTCCTTGACCTGGATCCTTATGTTGGTACCACCACTCACAGTGGCTCACGCAGCAAACACAGTAGCAGAAGCCATCATGAATAGCAGTACTAACACACGACTCCTTATCCTGCTGCTCTTATTATTAAGGGCAAAGTGGTGTAAAATAATCTACAAAAAAGTCCAGTGAAAGTCAACTGTAAAAAGGACACAACCCTTGACAACAAAATTGAATAGAAAAAGTCCTTAACAAATTATTTCATGCCTTAGGCATTGGCTGGGCTGGATTTTAAACATTTGCATTGTTTCATTACATTTCAGGATCCATTTGTTAATTGAAGAATTTTCCAGACGGCCGCCATATCCTTAACAACCATGACTCATCTGCTGTCAGCGGGATCCCCTGCTGGCAACATAATGTAAACAAAAGAAGTGCCTGTTAAATAAAAAAAAACAGAATGGGGGTCCCCTCCAATCCTTACCAGACCCTTTGGGTTTGCACAGATTTTGAGGAGAACCCCACCCCAGTTTTTTTGTTTTTAAATGCATTGATCTCCCTGAAAATCCATACCAGACTCTTAGGTCTGGTATAGATTTTAAAGGGAAACCCACACCAAAAGTTAAAAAATAATGGCATGGGGTCGCCCAAAATTCATACCAGATCCTTATGGAAGTATACAGCAAGTGCCCTGCCTCCTGAGCCTTACCAGGCCCCATGCCCTCAACTTGGGGGAGGGGGCTCCCACTAAAGCACCTTGTCCCCATTTGATGGTGACAAGGGCCTCTTCCCCACAACCCTGAAGTCCTCTTTAACAAGGGGGCCCCCGGATCCCGCCCCCCCATGTGAATGAGTATGAGGTACATAATACCCCTACTCATTCACCAACACCAGTCAAAGTAAAAAACAAAATCAGTTTTTCACAAGTCCAGTCCTTTTATTAAAAAAAAATATGAATAAATAAATGGCCCCTGAAGTAGATCCAACATCAATCACGCTGAGCATTGGTAAGCACAAAAAAACCCACCTCCCATCCCATGTTACTGAATAAAAGGCTCTAAATACTGTGCATGGAGTCAGTACAAAATTTTCTGGCTTTTTTGTGTGAAATATTTACACTCTGATGTTGATTTCTTGATTAAACACTGTCTGGCTAGTCTCCTTTTTCAAAATTTGACCTAGTAAAAGTGCTTAAATATTGCGCATGGAGTCTGTAGAGTACAACATATTTTGCTGGATTTTTTCAGTAAAATACTAAGAATCTCATTTTGATTTCTTGATTAACCCCTTTACAATGGCTTTCCACATATATGCAGAATCACAGAAGTAGACTTTTCTTTCGTGGTGCCACATATATGCGCTGCATAAATGTTTTTGTGTTGGGAGCATGCCAAGGCAGCTCCTGGTCTCAAACAAAAAAATCAGAAGTGAAGAGGACTGGCTCACAATCATGTGATCACAGTTTTTTTTTCAAATAAAAGCAGTCTGGTGGCTCTCTTTTCCAAAATGCAGCCTAATAAAAGTGCTTACATATATGCATGCAGTCAGTACAATATTTTTCAGTTTATTTCTGTGAAATAATAACACACTAATGTTGGTTTCTTGATCAACAGCTGCCTGGTATTCTACCATTCATCAAAATCCAGCTTGATAAAAAATGCTTAAACACTGTGCGTTTCCTAAATTTTTCTGTGAAATATATGTACACCAATTTTGATTTCTTGATTAAAAGCTGCCTGGTAGCTCCATGTTCAAATGTGGCCTGGTACAATTGGTAAAATTCCTCAGATACTGTGCCTACAGTCAGTACAATATTTTGCTCTAACTTCTCCTGTGGCTGTCCAAAAACAAGGCTAGCAAAGTAATGGTAGCTTGATCTACTACTCCAGGCTCCAAGCACTTTCTCAAGACAAGTGGCTGCAAGAGGAATGCAGTAGGAAGAAGGCATGTCAGCCTTTCATCCTCAAATCCTACATCCCTGTATGCAAATACCACTGATGTGATCTGTGTACAGCCACAGCAAATTTCAACCTGTCATTGATTTTCATGGACAGTGGCAGTGGGATGTATTCTGCATCTATGACTCCCTGGCCAGAGAATTATGCCCAAATGTATTTTGTAAAGCCCTCTTGCAGGTGTGCATGAAGCCTAACATAACTGTCCTGAATCTTTGGGTACTAATATGTTTATTTGTTAAAGGCAAAATTAAATGAAAAACCTATGAAGAGCTAACACATGCAACATGTCCTATATATGTTTGGGTTTTAAATTTGAAAAAGTATGTTCATTCCTAAGAAGTAAATTAAGTATTGTTGCACACCCCTGAAAGACAAACAACATCCCAGAGTATGCCGAAAGCTTTGTTTCAAATACTTAACAATGTACCGTATCTAAAAGTAATGTTATGAGAAACTGATGTGAGATTCCCCAGTAGTGCAATATGTTTGCAGCCAGAAAACAGAAGTCAGCCCATAAAAGTTTATAGGTATGTATCCTCTTGTGTTTTCCGTAATACAATATGTTATTTCTACACCTGATCTTCATCTTGAAACAGAATGGTTTAAGTGGCCAGCTTGGGAAGTGTTTTAATAGTTCTATAAAAAACAGTCCTTAAAAGAATTTGAATGAAATATATTTATTGTGTAATCAAGATAAGAAGAAGTTGAGGCCTACGTGTTGAGGTTTGATTGTGCTTTAGTGTTGTTATAGCCATAAAATTCAAGCTGGAATTTAAGAGGACCTAATAATCCGTGTAGCTTAGAATGCTTTAATGAATATAAGAAATATAAACTGTATTTACACATTTATTCTCATATCCATTAGCAAAGTTAAAGGTTTAGGCCAGTGGTTCTCAACCTTTCTAATGCCGCGACCCCTTAATACAGTTCCTCATGTTGTGGTGACCCCCAACCATAAAATTATTTTCGTTGCTACTTCATAACTGTAATTTTGCAGTGGGAGGAGTAGTGCCACGTCATTGGTGTCAGTGGGAGGAATAGTGTCCCATCACTGATGTCAATGGGAGGAATAGTGCCCCATCACTGATGTCAGTGGGATGAATAGTGTCCCATCGTTGGTATCAGTGGGAGGAATAGTGCCCCATCATTGGTATCAGTGGGGGGAATAGTGCCCCATCATTGGTATCAGTGGGAGGAATAGTGCCCCATCATTGGTATCAGTGGGAGGAATAGTGCCCCATCATTGGTATCAGTGGGAGGAATAGTGCCCCATCATTGGCGTTAGTGGGAGGAATAATGCCCCATCATTGGTATCAGTGGGAGGAATAATGCCCCATCATTGGTATCAGTGGGAGGAATAGTGCCCCATCATTGGTATCAGTGGGAGGAATATTGCCCCATCATTGGTGTCAGTGGGAGGAATAGTGCCCCATCATTGATGTCAGTGTGAGGAATAGTGCCCCATCATTAGTATCAGTGGGAGGAATAGTGCCCCATCATTGGTATCAGTGGAGGAATAGTGCCCCATCATTGGTATCAGTGGGAGGAATAGTGCCCCATCATTGGTATCAGTGGGAGGAATAGTGCCCCATCATTGGTATCAGTGGGAGGAATAGTGCCCCATCATTGGCATCAGTGGGAAGAATAGTGTCCCATCATTGGCATCAGTGGGAGGAATAGTGCCCCATCATTGGTATCAGTGGGAGGAATAGTGCCCCATCATTGGTATCAGTGGAAGGAATAGTGCCCCATCATTGGTGTCAGTGGGAGGAATAGTGCCCCATCATTGGTATCAGTGGGGAGGAATAGTGCTCCATCATTGGTGTCAGTGGGAGGAATAGTGCTCCATCATTGGTGTCAGTGGGAGGAATAGTGTACAATCATTGGTGTCAGTGGGAGGAATAGTGCCCAATCATTGGCGTCAGTGGGAGGAATAGTGCCCCATCATTGGCGTCAGTGGGAGGAATAGTGTACAATCATTGGCATCAGTGGGAGGAATAGTGCCCAATCATTGGCGTCAGTGGGAGGAATTGTGCCCCATCATTGGTATCAGTGGGAGAAATAGTGCCCCATTGTGGGTGCCAGGGGGAGGAATAGTGACCCATCTTGGGTGTCATTGGGAGGAA